TAATGGGTTATGTTGTATTCACTGTCGTACTGATGTGGGGAGGCTTGGGAGCAGTCGGACCCCCAAATAAAATTCAAACGTGGTTTATTTCTAATTCGATACCAGTGATTTACAGTTATTGCTGAAATGCCTGATTTTCCGGGTTTTTTCTTCTCATTTTTGCCCATTATGCCAGAGGCGGCACTCCCGGTTGGGGGGGGGGGGGGGGGCACTGTGCCACCCACTTTTTCAGGTACCCACAAAAAGCTCCTTTTTACATAGGACAAGTGCTCCTTTTCTTTTGTAATAACTGTCCTTTTCCTCTCTTAAACATCTCTGGTGAGTACGTCTTTTCGGGTGCGAGAAATTCCCCTTTTCACCTCTGATATGTTTGCCCTTTTTATACTTTGACTCGTGCCCCTTTTCCTTTTTGATAAGTGTACATTTCCTTTCTTAATAAGAATCCCCTCTTCAATACCATTTTAACCCCTGACACGTGCCCCCTTTCCTTTTTTTTTATATGCGCCCCTCCCCCTTTTCAAAATGCCCTTTTTAACATCTGATAAATGCCCCTCCAACATATTCCCCATTTCCATTCTCACAAGTGCCTCTTTTAATTTCTGTTGAGTGTTCCTTTTTTCAGGTGCAAGAAGTGCCATTTTCACCTCTGAAGGCTCTGATAATTGCCCTTTTTTACTTTGACATGAGCACATTTTCTTTTCTAATAACTGTCCTTTTCCCTTTTGAGAAGTGCCTACTTTTTCTTTCTCCATAACATGCACCCAGAGCCCCTTTTTCTTTAATTTTACCTAGATCTCGCTCGCTACGCTCCCTTGCATTTATAGACGTTATAATTATGTTATTTATAAAACTTTTCAGTCTTTCTTCATTAGGTTGTGCTTAATACTCATCAGGGTGTTTTGTGTTGGCCTTCTTAAAAGATGTAATTTTTTGCACTGGGACCTCACAAATCTTTAAATTGTTTGCTCTCTCGAAAACTGCAAAGTAGGCTTATGTTGCTTAATTAAGCAGTATCTTCTTGTACCACGTAAAGAAAGAAACAAATATTAATATCATCCCTGCATGGTAGTGTAATCACAATCATGACGATGTATAGGGGTATATATCAATGACTAAAGATGGTGTAGGTTTTTGTCGATGGTTCCCTTTGTAGGCGCCCCTTTTTTCCCAGAAAGTGCCTTTTTTGTTGGTGCCCCCTCCCTATTTTGAAAGACGCTCCGCCGCCCCTGCATTAAGCTACTTGGTGCTAATAAGGATTTTTTTATTTTAGCCCTAAAAGTTTATGCTCATTACGCCACTGGTTGACCAAACAGATGCCCTTTTTATTGGCCTATAATCATCTGTTTTGATGCTATTATAGGACATACCGATTCGTGCAGAAACACCCTATATAAGTCAGCCCCATATGTTTGGATTTTTTTTTCCATTAACGCCCCCCCCCCCAACACACACACACACGCGCACTTTCTTAAGCGAAATTCTAATATTCCCGGCGATGTCTGCATGATGCTAAAAAAAAAAAGTTTGTATCAATTAAGCAACTAGCAAATGCCCCTACTGGGAAAGAATAAATGCCCTACGAAGTGTAAAAAAAATGTACTGTATAATAATGATGTGCCCTACACGCGGCCTATTCATGTCAAAACAGATTGAGAGAAAGGGGCTCCTATATACATTTGCATTCTGTGTGCCATGTGTTTATTCGTTTATAAAGAAGGCGGATGAAAATTATGCTTTTGCCAGAATATGCCCCTACTAAATGTAATAAATATATGGAGGCAATAAAACTGAGGGGAGCAATTTTTATTTTCTGCCGGTAGAAGGATATTTTATCCATCGCCGACTGGGAGCCTCCAAATAAGCAGTTTGTGCTTCAATATCAAAATATGGTCATTTTCCTGAAAATGTACTGTTCGATGCACCCGAGCAACAATGTTTAATAGCAAAACCTAAATATTGTAAATACCCCCCCCCCCCCCCCCCCCACTCAGGGTACGCGTATGCATGTTCCCTCCCTTTGAAAGCACCCCTATCTCCATTGTGTAAAGTCAATACGGGCCTGAGATTTGGGGAACACGAATGCGGTCTCTTCGACCCCGGAGTGGGTGTGTGTGTGTGTGTGTTGGGGGGGGGGGGATAACCATGAATCATGGTCCATGATAGAACCAAGTTTAGGAAAATGTTTGATTACTCATAATAATTATAAAGCCAAATGGGTTCTAACGTCTTACTTCTAAAATTGATCGAAAGGCAAGTAACTGTCTGAGTCCGGTTGACTCTTAAAAAAAACTCTCTCCCCCAACTTTTCTCTTGCAATTAGCTAATCAGAACAATGTCACTCGTGTCCATAACAATAAGCAAGATTGGTTCGTGATGTTACATCAATTTTTTCATTATTTTCATTTTATTTTCATTTATATATTGTATTTATTTATTCATCTATATTTAATTTGTTTTTATAGGTGTCCTTTCTTGCGATATACCCTTACTTTGAAAAACGTAAAGACACCCCTTTTTTCGCCATGCAGAGATTTTTCATTCGTTTGTCCGAACTGCTTAAGGAAGTGACGTGGTCAAATCTGTGTTGAAGGTTCGAACCCCATTCAGATGAAAACACCTGGCAAGTGCCGGGTGTGATATTACTGTAGGACCCTCGATAAAAACAGCGTTTATGCTGATGAGGCTTCCCTGCATAAACAACATTATTGGTATTATTACTGTTGCTGTTGTTCTTTGTTATTTTGACGAACTTTCCTGTTTTCACAATCCATTGAGCTCAATGATAATTGAGCTGGGTTTAGGGGTTTACAGGGGCCGGTGCCCCTTTATTTGCATTTGCGTGTAAACGGTTTCAGTAGGGGAATTCGAGCCCCCCCCCCCCCTCCCTCCTTCTGACAAAAAATTAATGTCAATGTAGTAAAAATAAAAAAACAAAAACAAAATTGCCCTGTATTCGGATAATGGCCCCCAAACAGCTTTTTATTTCACATGTAGTCCATAAAGTTAAAATATGATATTATTGTTTATACTGCATTTATATGACTTCTTTCAAAGAGACAAACTGCAATTATGAGGCCACAGTGTTTGTTCCCTCTCGATCACATGGACTTTTGGATTTTCGTGTCCCAACAAAAGGCAATTAATCCAACTCAATCGAAACAAGTCATTTCAGAATATTTTACAAATAGACCCTGAAATACAAAACTTGAGAATTTTAACAATATGTGAGACATCATAAACATTTTGTCGTTCTTTCATTTTCTTTAGGATATTAATATTGGTTCCAAGTTTCGCAAGGCTCATGCATGCTGAGCTCTGCTGCAAACCCGCTCTCAAGTCCCGGCCCGCGTTATTTTTTTCTGCGGCACAGATTGGGTTAGGTGCGTGTTGAGCGGGCTATGGGAAAGTTTAGAGTTAGGGTTAGGGTAAGGGTTAGGGTTAGGGTTAGGGTTAAATCAAGACCTCTTTTTTAAAAAAAGCCCCAATCTGTGCCTCAGAAAAAAATGACGCTTCCGGCCCCCCACTCCGTGATCGGAGGGATATCATGCGTGTTACCAAAATGTCCGGTAAAGCAGGGATATGTGAGTTATCCCTGGGTAAAGGGGTACTTTTCACCCACCAAAGTCCGGTTCGTAGTACCAAAAAGCCCGTTTTACACACTGGACTTAGGGGGTGTTTTCAAAAGGAGGGAACATGCATATGCGTACCCTAAATAACACTGAGTGGGGGGGGGGGGGGGTCTCAAGTTAATCACTTTTAATAGCAGGTCAGTTTTTATGTATAATTTCGGTATATATGTTTTACTTGGTTGGATAGTAAACAGTATACTGTTGATACTATATATATATATTTTTTTTTTTCACTTTCTTGGGAGTGACGTCCGTGATCACTTGTTTAGGAGTGAAAATCGATTGATTTTAGAGTGCTCTTTAAGAAGAAAAGAGTAAATGTTCACTCTATTTTCACTACATTTTCACTCTCCAGAGGAGTGACGTCCGTGATCACTCGATTTTCTTTTAGAGAGTACCTATTGAAGTGACATACACTGTCTTATTTTTTTTTAAATTCGGGCCGGGGGGGGGGCGGCCCTTACAAAAATGTACTATGGTAACCATGGTACTTTTGTCCAAATTACCATCCACCATGGTAACCATGATGGACATCATGGTACCAAAACAATGAAATACATTGTTTAATGACCCAATGTATTTCATTGTTTTGGTACCATGATAACCATGGTTACCATGGTGGATGGTAAGGGGCAGTGGCGGATCCAGGGGGGGGGCCCGGGCCCCCCGGGCCCCCCCCTTGAGAAAAAAAATCATGTAAAATCACGTGATTTTTACGATTTTTGGGGGTTGGGCCCCCCCCCCTGGCGCTCAAGGGGGGGGTGCATATTGAATTTTTTTTGAGGATCAAAAAAAAAAAAAGTGCTCACTACCCCCCCCCCCTCCCCCCCCCCCCCCCCCAACTGAGCGACTTTTCGGCCGGCGCGATTTTCAAATTTTCGGGAGCAAAAAAAAAAAAAGTTGGGCCCCCTCCCCTAAGAAATCCTGGATCCGCGCCTGGTAAGGGGGGAATAGGGGAGTAAACAAATGCATCAATGTCACTATTTGGCATGGGCGACTCCTGATTATTATAGTGGCAGTGGTCCATGCAGGGTCCGCGAGGGGGGGGGGGGGGGCTACTATACATATAGGGCAATTTATAAGCCTATAGTATAGGGCCTTACACCCCCCCCCCCCCCCCCCTGTGTAAACCTGTTAACAATAATATCTACTGAAAAGAACTGATGAGTGCAGAATTTTACTGCATCATACATGCAAGTTTGATTTTCAAAACAGTGTTTCCAAATAATAATATGACGTTTCATCGATATTTGCACGTCCACGGCAACTGTACTGCAGTGTACGCGCGCGCTCGAGCTCGCGGGAAAATCAAATGCTCAAACGGTCTCAAAATTATGACGTCATCACGAGCTAGTCGCAGCTGATCGAGGCCGAGGGAAGCTGCATTAATCTTACGAAGTTACAGTCTGCTGTGGTAACGTGTCCTCATTTGAAAGAACAGGTGAGTAGAAATTTAATGTACATTTAATAGGGACTGAATGTAGATATGAATGTAATGTTTGTTATTTATTGATACTAAAATATGGAGTCGGCCACTTGCTGCACTTGCACTGAGCTGAGCCTGCTCTACCTGGCCCCCGCCCGGAGGCGTTATTTTTTTATGCGGCACAGATTGGGGCTTTTTTTAAAAAGGGGTCTTGATGTACAGACTAATACTGGTCGTGTGCGTACTAGACAGTATAAGTACTAAGTAGTAGAGGTCTGTTTTTAATAGTGTTACATTTAATCCACTACCGCATGGAAAATCATTACATCAACAATTAAAATCAAATTGGAAACTGAAGAGGAGGCAGCACGTCAATAAGGAGAACATCACAATAATTAGTCAATAAAACTTACTAACTTAAACGAAGAGGAATGTTATCTAAACACATAGTTCGCGGTGGATATACAAACTTCTTCGCAGCGCTAATGCGCTAGCTAACATGACTAGTCTCACGTAAGTGCAGACACTATTCAGAAGGGAAAGAACGTAATTCCCATAGGTTTAACACGCGCCATGCCCCAATCTGTGCCGCATAAAAAAATAACGCCGCCCGGAGCGGCGGCTGGCTTGAGTTGAGTGCTAGCTAGGCTCATTGGGCTCTGAGCTCTGGGCCTTCGCTGTTATTCTGGATCTAGTCTATTCGATGCAGGGCACTGCTGGGCATAAACACATCGGTTGAGACTAGAGTAGAGATAGTAGATTTACTCATTTAGACTACTAGATCTAGACACAGACAGAGTCAGAGAAGTGAGACTGAGATGAGAGTGTGACTGAGTCGGTGAGCGAGAGAGTGTGCTGAGTGATATCATATTCATAATGATTCAAATGACAATGGCAATTGGCGATGAACTCGCTGATCTCGGAAAAGCGGAGGGACATCAACAGAGAGAGATGGTTGATGTGGAGTTTATCATGAATATGATTGAATCATGATTGAATCATGATTGAATCATGATTGAATGATGTATTGTTGTCATGTCATCCAATTCCAAAATCGTACTAAAATTAATAAATGGTTCCACTCAATGCCATGGACTGGTACTATTGGTATGGACTATGGTAGTCTAGATGGAAATTATGAGTTACTGTATTATTCTATTAAACCGCTGTTGTTCAGTTCGTGCTCGAGTCTAGCTGTCAGTGATGATGATGTATGATTGAAGGGGTGACCAAAGTTAACAAAGTTAGTCTAACTCTAAGCAAAGTTTTTTACTACAAATTGGTTCAACTAGAAAATTTATCGTCAAAGGATTCCGGAGATATTGAGATCTAAAAATTTGATTTTGAATCAGCGTGCGCACTACAACTAAAAAAGTCATAAAATTATGAGACCTTACTTTGCGCACAGAGGTTTACAGCTGATTTATAAAAAAATGTGATCCATAAAAAATAAGGTAATATCATAATTTGCAAGGCAAGATATCATACAATCAGTTGGTACCACTGGGTCGCCGGATTACGAGACGCGAGACCACTGGCATGCAATGGTCTATTAACTGAGCTATCCCGCCTCGTCTATGATAGTTTAGTCTAAAAGTAAAAAGCTGCTAGACACTAGATCTAGTAATCTAGAGTTTACAGCAAACTGGTTTCAAGACCGGGAAAATGAAAATTAATTTTGCAATTGTAACTTCTTAATTACATTTTTAATTTTTGTTATATGTTAACAAACAGTAATAATATGGGGTGGTATTCTGAAAACTGACTTTGTTCACATGTGCAAGCAGCACCAATGGTAATTGTTAGTTTTGTTTACCAAGTAATTTAGTTTTTTATCACTATAAACATTGTTTTCTCTTTCATAATTAAGAACCATGCCCAAAGACTTCCATGATTTTAGTTAAAAGTTAAGATAATTCTGGAATCAAAAGATCTGAAATCACAGATTTACTCAAGATTTTATCGTCCAATGTGTTTCATTGCAGATACTTTTCTAATAGATCTGATTTTTCAGCATGGCAGAGAATGAACTATTGAGTGGAATTGAGGAGTAAGTATAATTTACTATTCTTTCCTATTTTTGTTGATGAGAAGGTATTAATTTTTTGAGGTTGCTTTCATTGCATTTTTGAAAAATTTCTACAAATATACCCTCCTTTTTTTTAAAACAGTCCCTGCAGACTCAACAGGTCTGAATTGAAAGAAAGCCCAGTATATCTAGGATCGATGATGCAAGATGCTCATCACAATCATTAAAATAAAATTGTTGATTCTAAATCTATGTCCATTGTTTTAGCATGAGAAGAGAACACTGTTTAATGTCTTCATTTTTGTTGGTTGATAAAATCAAGACCAGGTTTCCTCAAATAGCCTTTAATCTTATATTATTAAAGATTAAATAGGTAAGGCATATCTTTCTCGACCAAATATATCTGTTTTCTCATTAAATACATTTTTTTAAAATTTTATAATGTCTATCTTTTCTTTTACTTTCAATATTACTAATAGTATTATTATTATTTTTAATTTTTTTCATTTCATTTTACTTTGAGATTCATCAACAATGAAATAACATTCTCTCTAAATTGTGCATCCAGAAGAAAAAAAATCTTTTGTTAGATCTTCTTCTCTGCTAGAAATAATTCGCATATATTTTGTTTTCAGAGGAATATTTCTTATGGATTGTTTTCTTTTATATATACCAAAAAAAGGAAGTTAAGCAACATTGAGCATTCCCCTTATCATATGGACATTTCAAAATTTGTGTCCCATTTTTTTATTATCGTGATGAAAGTTAACATTTAATTTTTCTGTTGAAAGTCTTTACTTTTGTTTAAACTGGACATTATGAATGTACAATGTCATATTTCATATATTGGATGATGTCTACTGATTTATTTCCCAAAACATGGAACTCCTATATAGCACAAAAACAAATTCATTGATTGATCCCTTTACTGGGGGGTGTTTCACAAAGACTAAGATCAACTTTAAGTTGGACTTAACTATGGCAGGCCATTTATACCACTGTTTGTGTTTGCTCTCACCATTATGATATTTAGATGATATTTTTTCCTTCAACAATGAATTATCAAACAATGTAAATTGATGATGTAGATTTGTGACCACAATGTATACATCCCTTGAGAGACCAATGCCAGTTGATGGTGAGAGCAAACAGTGGCAATTAAAGTCAATCTTAGTCTTTGTGAAACACCCCCCTGGTATTGTATTTTACTGTTATCTTTTTACTTTGGAATTAGGTTTCTTTCTCCAGTAAAGCATGAACCGTCAGACAGAGAGTACACCCCACCACCAAGGCAGAAGAAGCAGAAGGTTAAGAGAAGGCCGACGCACAAAGCCATTTGCCCCAAGAATCCCAGCAGAAGACTCATATTTTCTTCTCAAGATGGTACAGTCAAACCCGGGGGGTGTTTCACAAAGATCCTAAGTCAAACTTAACTCTAAGTTGTACTTTAAAAATATGGACAGCCATTTGTAGCCTTTAAATAAAACATATTCAAAAGCAAAATTCAAGTAATTTAGACTTTTCACAAATTCCGCATCAAGAACATGAAATCTTCTTGATGATAGAAAATATGAATGATTTGAATCAACATTTTATGCCTTTTAAAATTACTTTTACAAAATATTTTCAGAGATGCTAACGGCTTTCCATAACTTTTCAGTCCAACTTAGAGATAAGTTTAACTTAGGATCTCTGTGAAACACCCCCTGCTTTAGCAATCATCTGTCTGCAAAGATCACCTGTCTACAAAGACCACCTTTCTACAAAGACCGCATTTTTTGTTTCCCTTGAAAATGGTTTCTCATTGAAACATGTGCTAAAGAAACCTGTACATAAAAACCAACTGCCTATTAGATCCACTTTTCTTGTCTCCCTTGGGTTGTTTTTATAGACAGGTTTCATTGTACCGTGTGAGTCAAAAAAAAGTTTACACCTAGAAAATTGCTAATTATTTTTAAAATATTTCTGTACTTTTTACCTTTTTACCTTATTTTCGATATGTCTGATATACACTCTCATCCTCAGCATTATCTTATATATATATATATATATATATATATATATATATATCTCTATCTCTTGCTTTGTCTCTCGTTCTCTCTCCCTCTCTCCCTTTCTCTCTTTCTCTCCCTCTCTGTCTCTATCTCACACTTTTCCTCGGTCTCCCGTGCTGTCTGCACTATTATCCTCCCTACCTCTCTTCTATATTTCCCTCCAGCCCTATGATGATTGTGGAATAGAATGTTAAACGAATTTTATGAATTGTATTAATTTGTATATATATATATATGTGTGTACACTGATTTTTTAATTCATTCACTGCGTGATATGTCTTAATACGTTTTATGTTTGTATAAATATTTATGTTTTTACAATGTACAAAGTTCTGCAATTCAACCATCTGGCTGCAAATGAATTATTTTAATAAAACCATTACCACCACCATTACCAAAATCCTCTATAAACAATAAATTATTATACATCTTATGAAAGAGTGTTTTATCCCAAATCATTTGATATCATTTTTGTGTGGTATGTGTTCACGCTTGGATGAACAGGAAGCATTGTTTGCGAGAGTGCAATGTATTATGTTGGGATAATAACGGAGTGAGAGAATGAATTGAATGTATCAAATGAAATGCATTGCAAATGCCCTTTTGCAGAAGCAATGTCACACACGCGCACAAGTGTTCGTTGATATTTGATATTTGATATTTGATATTTGATATGTGTGGCATGTTTAATTTTGTCAGGGATGTTATTTGGATCTGCAAAAACTGATTTAATACCCAAATTCCAATTGTTTTATTTAAACATCAGATAGGCAACTTTGGCGCAAGTCGATTTTTTCACTCTCGCAAACAATGCCTCCTGTTCATCCAAGCGTGAACACATACCACACAAAAATGATACCAAATGATTTGGGATGAAACACTCTTTCATGAGATGTATAATAGATTACTGTTCATAGATGATTTTTAAAATTATTAGCAATTTTCTAGGTGTAAACTTTTTTTTTGACTCACACTGTATATGTCATAATATGACAATAACAGAGATCCACTGTAGTTTGCGTCAAACATTTATTATTTGAATTAATATACATGTATAGTACAGGGCTTGAATTAATCCAAGGCCACCAAGGCCATGGCCGTGGATGCCCCTTTGATTGGCCTCAATGCCCCTCTCATTGGCCTTGGAGATTTTTTGTGCCCTTTCCAATTCTTCCTATTTGTGCTGTAATATAGGAATGTGCCCTAAAGAAAAGTGGCCTTGCCCTAAAAATATTGAAATTTAAGGCCTAATAGTAGAAGTTCTTTCATCAAATCTCCACACATGAAGAATACCATTAATGCACTAAAACATTTCAAGAATTGTAGGATAACTGATGGTATTAACAATTATTTCTTCTGCTACATACAATGCTTTAATTTATCAGAAAGATCTTGTTCTTAAGATGAAAAAACAGAATTGAAATATGCAATTGGGGACTATGCCTATGGCTCCCCCCCCCCCCCACACACACACAATCTTAATTATTATATATTTGTATATAAAGTCAGTCGTAAAGGATACAAATTGATCATAAAATCTATGTATTGATTCTAACTTCACTTTATCCATTTTGTTCCAGATATTTTTCTCATAAAAAAAAATAAAGTTATTTCTAAAAAGATTATTAAAGGATATTTTTGTTGAATTATATGTATCCTGACTTTTTACTTAGCTAAGGCTTATTTTGTCGCTCTGTATTTGATTCAAACAGAAGAAGAGCCTTCTCCACCTAGACATTGCAATAAGAAGAAAAGGAAGATGAAACGCAGGAAGAGCAGAGGGTCCAAGAAACAGAAGTTTACCGGTCGCGACGTCGAGGTTTCAGGAACCTGGGTCCAGTGTACCGACAAGGAGTGCATGAAATGGCGTTTCTTGTCGGACATCACTGACCCGTCCCATGTACCGGACGTCTGGACATGTGAAATGAATTCAGGTATTTTGACCATGATCGATGGCAGAACAGCACATTTTATCCATGTACAAAGTTATTGGAAGGAACCTTGTACTTCTGTGCAGCTATACCTGTGAGAATTGCTACCGTAGGTGCTTTAAAGATAAAGTTGAGTTCTGGTCATGCGATCGCATTGTGAAAGAAATGGTGTGGAATCAATCAGAAAAAGCTGATCATGGAGCATATAAGTATTGATGTGTACTGCAAGGTTCTGGAGTCATCAAAGGATAAGAAATTTGGCCCAGTCTTGGTTAAGTAACAAGTACTAGACACTGAAAGATGTATATTTATATGGGACTACACAAATGTGGCATAAAAATTGGGCCTCATTTTTAAGCTGTTACTTGTCATATTTAGAATATGAGGCATTTGAAGAGCCATGCTGTTCAGGGGACACCTTTTCTTGATGTTCTTCCACACTTAACAATGATAACACTAACAAATTATTTTTCACCTCTTCCCAGAACTCAACCTTCTCTTTAATAATGATAATGATAATAATGATAATGATAACAATGATAACAATAATAGTAATGATGATGATGATTGGATTTATATGGCACCGTTTCCAGTGGATACAAGGCGCTGTCCCTTAGGCTATCAACAAATTAATAAAAAATGTAGATCAAAATGTTTTTAGGCCTCCGCAACGAAGTAGTCGGAGGCATTATGTTTTTAGGTTGTCCGTCCGTATGTCCCGTTCTCGTGACCATGTTATCTCAAGAACCGATCGATGGATTCCTGCCAATCCTTGGGTCATGTATGTATCTTGCAGAGCCAATGAACTGATTAGATTTTGGAGTCATGAGGTCAAAGATCAAAGGGTCATACCAGTATATGTATATGAAAAAATAGCTTGTAATCACAATATTCTGAGAACCTGTTAATGGATTACAATCAAACTTGAATTTGAAAAATTGATTCTGTTTTGGTTTTATAAAATCGCTCTATGGCGGAGGTATCACTTTCGACTGCACGCAGTCAAACATCCATCTAGTTTAAGATGTTTATTACCGTAATTAACGGTGTATAAACCGCCCTCGTGTATTAACCGCACCCTAATGATTTTTTTTTTTTGCCGACTCTGTCGGCAGCAAGCCAGGTCCGTGTTTGATAAATAAAAAAACGTGGGAAGGCCTTTCATTTAACTGCGAGGTGCAGCTGAATGTGTAAGATCATTAATGTAAATTTAAAAACAGTAGAGGACCTAGGATAGAACCTTGTGGTACGCCATGTAATAGAAGAAAAATTGGAGGAATTATTGAGATCTATCAGAAAGATTACTTTCAAACCAAGATGACAGACAAATTTGCGTGTTGTTCTAGTTTCCGAGTGGTGATTCAACACACCGATTACTGACCTGGAAATCATTGCCAGGCATAGCGCCAGGTGGAGGGGAATAAATCGAAACTTTAAAAAGGTGCGGTTTATACACCGTTAATTACGGTAAAGAAAGTCAAGTGAAGTACTATTTCTCAGAAATGCAGGGAGTTTGTTCCATAGGTGAGGGGCAACGGATTGGAGAGATTTGAAGCCAGCCTGTTTTGGGGATTAGGGAATAAGAAGGGAAGGAACTAACGTACGTGAAGATCAATTAAAGTGTGTTACCTTTGAATAATCCAGGATAGATCATTCTTACAGAAATGGAAATCTTTGCAACTCCAAGTTTGTAAAATATGTTTGATCTTTATTTCAGCATCTGTTTCTGAAGTCACTAAATGTCAAAATATAAACTTATCCTATAGGAACTTACATGAGTTTGGGAAACATGTTGTGAAGCCGGATATAGTATATTTGAATCATCATCAACATCATCATCATTACTATCTAAATCAAGTCATCTTGTGAATGTGACTAAATAAGCCAGTTCGAAGATATTATCTGAGAGTATGGGTAGATAAAGGTCATTTGTACATAACTGTAAAACTCGTCAAGATGATTGCTGGATACGTGTCCATGAGAGTTATGTAATCATTATTTATTTGTGCACCTTCTATGATACACAGGTGGTAGTATTTTTGTCAAGAGGGCACCAAAATGTATTCATGTATTCATATTCTCCCTCCCTTCCTCCCCCTCTCTCTCTCTCTCTCTTTCTCTCATTCTTTTTGTTTTTCCTATTGCTCTCATCCATCTTTCCTTCTTTTCTTTTTTCCTCCATTTATTATAATCCTTCTCCTTCATAGATACATCACACAACTCGTGCCTTCTACCAGAGCAAGACTATTCCACCCTGGACTTTGTGCATGCCAAGTTTACAGAAGGTTCACTTGTATGGGCAAAAATGCAGGGATTCCCATGGTAATAACAAAACTAAATATATTCCATTTTCTTTTCATCTTTAAATAAATCAAAATAAAGGGATATTAATCAAAGGGAGAAAAGATACTTAAACATGGTCTATAATCAGGTTATCTTTCTGCAGCAGCGTTTTAATCATGTTTTATTGATTTTTCAATGTGGTTTATATACATGTAACAAGATATGAAATCATTGGTTTAATCATTTTGACTAATTTATATATTTTTAGAGGTAACATGAGAACCCTTTCATCAATAAATGTTTGAATTGCAATTTTATGTTTGTATGGTAATGTTATAATACTTTTACTTAAGGTAGCCTGCTATGATTATAGAAGACTAACTTTGTATTGAATTTTTAAGGTTTAAACAAAAAAGTTTGTAATATATTGTAAGACCAAATAACAAACATGAAGTGTTTCTCGTCCCCGCCTCCTTTTGGGCCAACGCCTCCCCTTTTCACTACGGTATTTACTATTCAGAAGAAAAAAAGCACCAAAAAAAAAAAAGCCTGTGACATATATTTTGTTTAAATAGCTTCTAAGGTGATATTTGTGGGTCATACATTGCATCATTATTACTCACATAGCACAATATCTGTTGACAATAGGCTTGGCCAGCTATAATTAGCATGACAGCCATCTTGGAAAAAAATTGCAAAATAGTAATGCCCTGCCTCCTCCTTTTTTTAAAAGTTCGGTCGACAAACACATTATTTTTGTTATTTGGCCTAATTTATGAGGTTTTATTTAAGTTTATATTGTAATTTTCTTTATTAAGGTGGCCCGCTATGATTGAAGAAGATCCCGATTCTGAATTGTGCCTATATCCAGATCCAGTGACAGGATATGTGGTCAGTATAAGCATGTGTACAGTTTGATGCAGGGAAAAAAATACATGGGGGCTCAGGGCAAATTCGCCCCCGAAATGCTAAAAAGAGCCCCCGAAAGTCGTAAAACAGCCCCCAAAATTTGCATAAAGTTCAATGCAAAACAAATTAAAGAGTGTTATTTTCATGCAAGCAAGCTTGAAAAGTAGCCCCCTAATTTTTTTTCTTCTTTTTTTTCCCTGGTTTCTTGAATCACATATTTGGTAAATACTGGATTTATCTTTCTATATTTCACTTCAGGAAAAATAGAAAAAATAACCAATATACAAAACAGAACATGCATATCAGTCAGTATTTAAAGCCTTATATTGCAAAAGGAAAATGAAAAGGGATTACATATAGTTGTTGACCTACCCTCGCAGCCTGTGTGCATATGCTAAAAGATAAATCTTTTGCAGTACTTTTAAAGGTAAAGACCAGTTATGGTCATGCGATTGCATTGTGAAAGAAACGTGGAATCGATCAGAAAAGGTTGATCATCTAGCATCTAGCATCTAGCATCTGCAAGGTTCTGGAATCATCAAAATGATAAGAAATTTGGCGTTTCCAATACTGGTCTTTACCTTTAAAGGTTATGTATGAGAAGAGATATGCTTACCCATGGCAGTGCATTTACACCTTCAGCTCCATGTAGATGGTGTAAAACAAAGATGATAAGTCTAGCAATGGATTTGAAAATTCATTGTCGAAATCCCTCCACACCTTGTACATGTATTAGTACCAAGGGTGTTGTGCACTGGCATAATTCATAAAAACCTTTAAAACCATGCCTACATGATACTTGTATTTATCAACTATTTTTGATTTTGTATCACTTTATTGTCAATCTTCAATACAGGAACATAGTATAAACGTAAACAAATTGCACAGTCACAGACATATATAATAAGAGTAGCCCAGGTCATTGCTCATATAAAATAATAATAATAATACAGACATTTATAACGCGCAACATATCCACCCAGAGGGTGCTCAAGGCGCTTACAATGAGCTACATAATACACTTAGAAACAATTTTGCTTACATTACATTACACATGGTTATAACAAAAAAAAGAAGATGATATTTGTTAAAGTTGGCCATTAGATAAGTTTTCAGGCTGGCCTTGAAACTATCTACTGATTTACAGTCCTTAAGTGTGTTAGGGAGACTGTTCCACAATCGGGGGGCTGCTGAGGCAAATGCTCGATCTCCCCATGATCGTCTGGTCTTACTGTTAGGGATGATCAGAGTTGATGTGGCAGAACGCAGACCAGAACGACCAGGCTTGCGAAAGTTGAGTAGAGAAGAGATGTACTGTGGCGAGGAGAACTTCAAGGCACGGTATGTGATCAGAAGGATTTTGTAGGTGAGACGATGTTCAACAGGAAGCCAATGCAGGGATTTAAGGACTGGAGTGATGTGGGCGAACTTGCGTGTATATGTCACTAGACGGGCAGCAGCATTCTGAACAAGCTGGAGCCTCTTAACTTGAGACATAGGGATGCCATAGAGTAAAGAGTTACAACAATCGATGCGGGATGTAACAAATGCATGCACAAGCTGCTCAGCCGCCTTTGTGGTGAGATACTTGCGAATAGCACGAAGATTGCGGAGACTGTGGATCGCAAGTTTAACACTTGATGATACTTGCGACTCCATGGTCATATTGGAGTCAAAAATATCTCCAAGATTTCGAACTTTCTTCACTGGAGTAATTGATGACAAACCAATATTCAGATTGGGGGTTACCGACTTGGCGAGTTGCTGCTTGGAACCCAGCATAACAAACTGAGATTTGTCGTCCTTGAGTTTCAAGTAATTCTCCTTCATCCAATTCCTAATGTCACTTATACAGGCTTCAACACGAGCAATCCAGGCATCAATTTCCCCTTGTGTGGGAGAACACGAAAAGTATATCTGCGTGTCATCAGCATACATATGGTGCTTGAGATTCATAAACTGCCAAAGCAGGGCATACAATCCAAAACATATATATAAGACAGAGATGTTATAAAACATGATTACTATAGCCTATGTAATTGGGTGATAACCAGCTTAGTAAGGTTTTAAGGTGCATTCAGATACCTCTCTCACAGTTCTCTCGCTTTCTTTTAATTCGATGGGTCAGTGACACAAAGACGTAACTTCATTTTGGCCATTTTGAGAAAAAGTGGTTTATGTGTCACTGAGCACTTGGGCCTTTAAAGAGTTAAGTCTAGTTTTCCTATCCATAAACTTTAATGGGGTGTTGGGTGAAGTTAAGTCTTTGTGTTTCTTGGAAAGCCCACATTTTTCTGAACATTTTGATATCAAATACTCATTTTGGAAAAATATGGAGTTACGTCTTTGTGTCACTTAACCCTCAATTTATTCATTTGTTTCTTTAACAGACCGACTACCATGTTGTTTTTCTTGACAAGAAAGTCACAAGATGCTGGGTCAAGGTTTCCAATATCCAGAAATATGAAGACGCAGCATGTCCTGGTTCCGTAAGTAGTAATTAAAGTACACCAGGGGGGTGTTTCACAAAAATTGTCATCAGTGACAAATGACATTTTTTGTTATAAGCTACTAAAATCCTTGCTTCTGATTGGTTATCAGCAGATTTGTCACTGATTTTTGTCATTGATAAAAGGCTTTGTGAAACACCCCCTTGGAGTTATCCGAAGAATCAAAAGTGTTTTGAATTGATGCAAAATTCATATCATTGCAAAGGGGAAGCCTTAATGATCCAATATAACAAATTCCCTCTTCAAAATATGTATGGGGCCTGAAGTAATCATCTCTCAAAAGTGTTGATTTTGAGATCAAGATTCTCTGCTTTCAGCGGTCTCCCGTAGAGCATCAAGATTTGTGACGTCACATGCGAGATACAGCTAGCCACAAAGCACTTTACACATTTCCATGATATCTATGTGATTTTTCTTTCGCAGAGATACCACGTGGGCTCAAGGCCGACTGCAGCGGAAATCTTTCCATCCATATATAATTTGTCCATAATTATCAGTTGCCGTAAATTTTCTTCAGGTGACTACTTTAATGGTTTGTTTGATAAAAACATTAAAATACAATAGGTAATACATGTGTACCGGTAGTCAAACAAACATAAAATGAATTACAAATTTGTTATAGTTCATAGTAAGATATGAAATATAAAGATATACTGAAATATGTATAAGCGATAATCTTTCCTCTCAGAATAATAAAGGGATTTTAACAGATTGAAACAATCAGTAAATTACAGTTAATACATCGGAACATTACTTCAAATTAATAGAAAATTCATTAGGAAAACATCTCATTTGAGCTCTGCTCACCAGTTCACCACTTTTCCTGGAGCTACCATAATCTGATAGGAGCACTGACCACTGATAAAGGGATTACCAGTAGGGTCCATGGGGAGAGAGACAGTGGTCAATCATAGCCTAGTTACTGATAAAGGGATTACCAGCTGGTAGTGGTATCTGATATCCAGTCCAGATTCATAGTCTTCTCATCGCAGACCCTACACCTATATTTATAATAGGCCTGGATTCAGTGTGTCTAAAGTCTCACCTCATATTGTTTTTTTTAGCAAGTACTAGCTATTTAAGTTTCTTTTACGTATAGAAGAGAACATTGATGTGCTTGGCAATGGAAAAATGCAGAAGGAAAATATAAAGGGAGGATAAAATAGGGAAAGACGGGTGATAATAAGGAAAGATGGAAATGGAGGGAAAGAAGGAAGAGAAAATAAAGAATAGCATAAGGAAAGATGGAAAAGGAAGATAAAAAGTTTAAAAAGAAATACATAAGGAAAGATGGAAACAGAAGATAAAGAAGGTTAGAAAAAAAGAAATACATGAGAAAAGATAGAGAGAATAAAACAAGGTGAAAATAGAGGAATACATAAGGAAAGATGAAAAAGATAAAATTAGGAGAAAATAAAGAATAACATAAGGAAAGATGGAAAAGGAAGATAAAAGAAGGTTTAAAAAGAAATACACAGGGAAAGATGGAAACAGAAGATAATGAAGGTTAGACATAAAGAAATACATGAGAAAAGATAGAGAGAATAAAACAAGGTGAAAATAGAGGAATACATAAGGAAAGATGAAAATTAGAAAGACGGAGAAAATAAAGAAGGGCATAAGGAAAGATGGCTAAAGAAGATAAAATTAGGAGAAAATAAAGAAATATATAATGAAAATTAGAAAAGAGATGCTGAAAGAAGGAGAAAAATAAAGAATAATATCAGCCGAAAGGTATATAGAACAAAGGTGATAATAGTGAAAAACATGAGGAAAGATGGAAAGGAAACATTGAGAAGATATAGAAGTTAATTGGACAAATAAACTTAAAATAAACCACCAACCAACAAGCGTTAACTGGACCAAACTTTGATTGGTCATGTTGCTGCATAATAACCTAAAAAGGGCGACTTGAAATAATCGCACTGTCACAAGTATTTTAGTTTTTCTGCATAAATATAATCATTACCTTAAAACATAAAGGTTAGATGGCGTATGTATTGAACCAAATCATTAATAGGCAAGCTTGCCCAGGACCTCTTTGATCAAACGACACGGCAAATTTTTAAGAACACTAAAAGAAAATACACTGAAAAACGGCCGCTCAGAGTGCCGGGCGCATTCACGATACTGCATGTGGCAAGCTGTTCCGAATTGGGTGGTGGAGTAACGCCTTTAACCGAGGCTATATTTGTCGACCTTACCCGACTTTCAAATGGAGAATCTCACTTTTCGGTGAACGGGGACCGAAATACCCCACTTGCGTGTCTGGTATTACAGACCGCTTTCTTTCCCGATATCTTCGCGTACACCAAGCTTCGTGAGAATGAGCAATCTCAGAATCTGGATGAATGTTGTCCTTGTAGTGTGAGGTTCATGAGTAATTATTGTTATAAACTACGACATATAGTATGGATGATAATGTTTGTCAAGTTTATTGCGGACTATGTCATCCTCATAAAAGTATTAGATCAAGTAAAAAGGCTTCAATTAAAATAGTTAAACATGACCAGAAATCATTTCGATGTTAAGATATTTTTGACGCACTTCTCGTCATGATATTAAATTTATAACATACAACGAAACGAGGACATCATAATCATAAAGACGTTCGTTGTGCAGATATGTATTTGCTTATTAATACATACAGTGACAAAAAGAATAATGCGCTATATAATCATGAGCAAAAAACCAAGAGGTTTCGGAGAAAGGTAAAAAATCATCCGAGCAGTCAATTAGGCAATTCTTCAACAATCTTTAGTATCAAAAAGTGAAAAGGTTTAACTGTCGTGATAAAAATGAGCTTGTCATAGAGATTTATTATACAAGTGAGCATCGAAATGTTTCTTTAACGAACTGCTATAAAATTTTGAAACCAAATACACTTGTGCTGAAATTTCATATCCTCGGTATCGAGAAGCATTATGTTCCATTATGGTTGCATCAACTATTGTAAAATAGATTAAGTCCTTCGATGTCTTGTAATGCCCTAATTACTCGGCTAATTATTATCTTTCTAAAGGATTGTAGATTTGAGAGTTTCTGTTTCTTTCGTGTTACATGCAATGGACATTCAATCATCACGGCTTGATGTGTTGTGGGGAAATAAATATTGTATCCTATACGTATACAGATCATATTAAATCGAATAAAAGTTTGATGAAATTCAATTCTTATCTTGCCAGAATCATCATTTTTTTTAAATACCGTCTTTATAACGAATTCCAAGAAATATGCCGTCTGCCTAAACAACCACCCCCCCCCCCCCCCTATTTCAAATTTGACGTCTGAGCCCCGGCCACTTCCTATTTTCAAATCCTTGATCTGCCGTTTGGGGGGGGGGGGGGCAAGAAATAGGCAAAGAAAGTTGAGTAGACCTTGAGATTACGCACAGAATAAATGTAACGAAAACAATATTTACAACATTCTATTCTTGCTTTAATACCTCAAAAATATTTAACGGTCAAACCAACAAAATGTATGTTTTCCCGGCCTTTCCTTATAGGCCTAGGCCTACACCATTTTTCTAAACGCGTTCGAGATTATTTCGTCTATGCGAATAAATTTGGTGGCGGAGTAACGCCTTTAACAGAGGCTATATTTGTCGACCTTACCCGACTTTCAAATGGAGAATCTCACTTTTCGGTGAACGGGGACCGAAATACCCCACTTGCGTGTCTGGTATTACAGACCGCTTTCTTTCCCGATATCTTCGCGTACACCAAGCTTCGTGAGAATGAGCAATCTCAGAATCTGGATGAATGTTGTCCTTGTAGTGTGAGGTTCATGAGTAATTATTGTTATAAACTACGACATATAGTATGGATGATAATGTTTGTCAAGTTTATTGCGGACTATGTCATCCTCATAAAAGTATTAGATCAAGTAAAAAGGCTTCAATTAAAATAGTTAAACATGACCAGAAATCATTTCGATGTTAAGATATTTTTGACGCACTTCTCGTCGATCGTCATGATATTAAATTTATAACATACAACGAAACGAGGACATCATAATCATAAAGACGTTCGTTGTGCAGATATGTATTTGCTTATTAATACATACCGTGACAAGAAGAATAATGCGCTATAATCATGAGCAAAAAACCAAGAGGTTTCGGAGAAAGGTAAAAAATCATCCGAGCGGTCAATTAGGCAATTCTTCAACAATCTTTAGTATCAAAAAGTGAAAAGGTTTAACTGTCGTGATATAAATGAGCTTGTCATAGAGATTTATTATACAAGTGAGCATCGAAATGTTTCTTTAACGAACTGCTATAAAATTTTGAAACCAAATACACTTGTGCTGAAATTTCATATCCTCAGTATCGAGAAGCATAATGTTCCATTATGGTTGCATCAACTATTGTAAAATAGATTAAGTCCTTCGATGTCTTGTAATGCCCTAATTACTCGGCTAATTATTATCTTTCTAAAGGATTGTAGATTTGAGAGTTTCTGTTTCTTTCGTGTTACATGCAATGGACATTCAATCATCACGGCTTGATGTGTTGTGGGGAAATAAATATTGTATCCTATACGTATACAGATCATATTAAATCGAATAAAAGTTTGATGAAATTCAATTCTTTTCTTGCCAGAATCATCATTTTTTTAAAATACCGTCTTTATAACGAATTCCAAGAAATATGCCGTCTGCCTAAACAACCACCCCCCCCCCCCTTTTATTTCAAATTTGACGTCTGAGCCCCGGCCACTCCCTATTTTCAAATCCTTGATCTGCCGTTTGGGGGGGGGGGCAAGAAATAGGCAAAGAAAGTTGAGTAGACCCTGAGATTACGCACAGAATAAATGTAACGAAAACAATATTTACAACATTCTATTCTTGCTTTAATACCTCAAAAATATTTAACGGTCAAACCAACAAAATGTATGTTTTCCCGGCCTTTCCTTATAGGCCTAGGCCTACACCATTTTTCTAAACGCGTTCGAGATTATTTCGTCTATGCGAATAAATTT